GAGGCGGGGACCGGGGCGGTGTGAAGGGGGAGCCCGGTGGGGTTGGAAGCGGGACGGCGTGAGGGGAGGCTGGGCGGGAAGCAGGGCCGTATGAGGGGGGGGGAAATCCCGGCCGGAGCTCTGAGCCCCCTTCTCCTCCTTTCCCGGGTCAGGCGAGACCCCTGCGCACATCGGTGGCACCACGCTGTTCGGGGACAATGTGGAGGACGAGTGGTTCATCGTCTACCTGGTGCGGGAGATCACCAGGGAGTTCCCGGGGCTGGTGGCCAGGTAACGGGCCTCCTCCCTCCCGGTTGGGGCCGGGAGTGAAGGGGCGGCAGCACTTTCCCTGGCAGGGGCTGGAGGGAGGTCTTGTCTTAATATTAAAAATAATACGTAGACATGTGTTTAGAAGCATGCGTTAGCGTGCTGTGCGGTGGAAGACCTCTGGTAAGAAACCTGAACGGCGTGAGGGGGGGAGCGGGACGGTGTCAGGGGAGAGGCGAGACGGTGTGAGGGGGGAAGCGGGGAGCCGGGTGGCGTGAGGCGGGAAGCGAGACGGCCTGAGGGCCTGAGGGGAGCCCGGCGGGGTTGGAAGCGGGACGGCCTGAGGGGGGGAGCCGGGCGGCGTGAGGCGGGAAGCGAGACCTCCTGAGGCGGGGACCGGGGCGGTGTGAAGGGGGAGCCCGGTGGGGTTGGAAGCGGGACGGCGTGAGGGGAGGCTGGGCGGGAAGCAGGGCCGTATGAGGCGGGGGGAAATCCCGGCCGGAGCTCTGAGCCCCCTTCTCCTCCTTTCCCGGGTCAGGCGAGACCCCTGCGCACATCGGTGGCACCACGCTGTTCGGGGACAATGTGGAGGACGAGTGGTTCATCGTCTACCTGGTGCGGGAGATCACCAGGGAGTTCCCGGGGCTGGTGGCCAGGTAACGGGCCTCCTCCCTCCCGGTTGGGGCCGGGAGTGAAGGGGCGGCAGCACTTTCCCTGGCAGGGGCTGGAGGGAGGTCTTGTCTTAATATTAAAAATAATACGTAGACATGTGTTTAGAAGCATGCGTTAGCGTGCTGTGCGGTGGAAGACCTCTGGTAAGAAACCTGATTTCTCCTTGGCCAGGGTCGATGACAACGATGGGGAGTTTCTGTTGATAGAAGCAGCTGATTTTCTGCCAAAGTGGCTGAATCCTGAGAATAGTGACAACAGGGTGAGTAAAACTTGTGTACCAATTGGGAAGTGGCTCACAGTGGCCTTTTACTTACCAGTTGAGAGTTTTCTCTCGAGCCTCTGTCTAGCCCAGTGGTCTGGCTGCCTCTGAAAATCCTTTACTAGGGAAGAAACTTCTGGTCAGGGCCTAAGGCTTGTTTTAATTAATGGCATGGGTTTGTTTGGTTTTTTTTCCTTAGCACAGTCTGTTTTCATTCTGGTTTTAATGCGCTTCTTTCTGCTTGCTGTGGATGTTGAAAGAGAGACTTAACCACTGGAAACCTCTGACACTTGATTCTGGTCTGTGTGCGCTTGCAGAATGCTGTGTAGAGTGAGTGTGTCCTGAGAAACTGCTGTAGTGATTTCTGGAAATTGTTGCAGATATCAAGTGGTTCTTCTAGAATTGGTTTGTTGATGGAAGGAAGAAAGAGAAAGTTCTTAGACTGGTATGTTCTAATACTAATGGCAAAATGTTCATATGGAGACTACAGACCTGCCTGCTAGGGTGAGTCTGTGTTGTTCAGCTAGACCTGACTCTTGCACAGAAGTCATTCTTTATGAGTTGTTCCCTTAAGGACCTGACTCTTGCACAGAAGTCATTCTTTACGAGTTGTTCCCTTAAGAGCTGTCGGCTGAACAGGAGCCAGCAGTATGCCCAGGTGGCCAAGAAGGCCACCAGCATCCTGGCCTGTGTCAGGAACAGTGTGGGGAGGAGGACTCGGGAGGTGATGGTCCCCCTGTCCTGGGCACTGGTGAGGCCCCACCTCGAGGGCTGTGTCCAGTTTTGGGCCCCTTCCCACAAAAAAGACATTGAGGGGCTGGAGCGGGTCCAGAGCAGGGCAACGGAGCTGGTGAGGGGTCTGGAGAACAAGTCTCCTGAGGAGAGGCTGAGGGAGCTGGGGGTGTTGAGCCTGGAGAAAAGGAGGCTGAGGGGAGACCTTCTGGCTCTCTCCAACTCCCTGAAAGGAGGGTGTAGCCAGGGGGGGTCGGTCTCTTTTCCCAAGTCCCAGGCGATGGGACAAGAGGAAATGGCCTCAAGTTGCACCAGGGGAGGTTCAGGCTGGAGAGTAGGGAAAATGTTGACATGGAAAGGGTTCTGAAGCCTTGGACTGGGCTGCCCAGGGAAGGGGTTGAGGCCCCATCCCTGGAGGTATTTAACAGATGGTTGACCTAGTGCTTAGGTGATGGTTTTTTATCCGAGTGAGGTTGATGGTTGGACTGGATGATCTGAAAGGTCCTTTCCAACCTGGACAATTCTATGATTCTATAATGTAGAGCGGACCAAACTTTTTAAAACTTGCTACTCGTGGTGTCAAACTTGAAGGCAAGTGAAGCTATTTTGCTATCTGTAAAATCATTAAGTTTGGCCAGCTTTCCATTTCCTAGGTTTCTGGGGTGCAAGGAAAGTTTGGATAACATGGGAAGTATGGAATGTATGTGGCAGTGTGCATACTGGAGTACTGCTCTCCCAAGGAGCACTCTTGGATCTGCCTGAGCTTTAGCCACTTGGATATGCTTGGATATACTTTGCTATAGCCACTTGGATATTTCCAACCTGGACAATTCTATGATTCTATAATGTAGAGCGGACCAAACTTTTTAAAACTTGCTACTCGTGGTGTCAAACTTGAAGGCAAGTGAAGCTATTTTGCTATCTGTAAAATCATTAAGTTTGGCCAGCTTTCCATTTCCTAGGTTTCTGGGGTGCAAGGAAAGTTTGGATAACATGGGAAGTATGGAATGTATGTGGCAGTGTGCATACTGGAGTACTGCTCTCCCAAGGAGCACTCTTGGATCTGCCTGAGCTTTAGCCACTTGGACATACTTGGATATACTTTGCTATAGCCACTTGGATATTTTTTTTTTCTACCATATTCTGGAGTGCTTGGGCAGGAGCGTTTGCTGCTCTCAGACTGGGGAGTCCTCAAGACTGGAGCATTGCTGACTCTACAGGGAGACAGATTGGGTGAGGTGTAGGTGAATTAATGAGCAGTCTCTTTCACCCAGTGTCACCAGTCATCAAGCCAGATCACCTCGCTGTGGATGATTGCTAGTAGTTATGTCACTGAGTTTTTTGTAGTGAATTTAAACGGAACGAACTTACTCTTTCATTAGCAAAGATTTATTGAATTTTCTTTCTTACTACTATAAGACTTAAAAGAAAAGGGCTGGAGTACAACACAAAAATTAATTGCAAACCTGTATCTGGGCTATCAGTGCCATCCTTTTCCTTCCATTTGAGGGAACGGGTGGATTGAGGGACTTGATAATGTTGCATTCAGTTCTTTTCTTAGGATCAGGAACCAACAGAGGTCACGTGTAGCACCTGAAATAATGCTTTTTTAGTCCCTGTCCTCCCTTCAGGAGAATCAGACAGCATAATCTAGCTGCTGAAGTAAATCACTAGTTGAGGAAAAATTTTTGGTACTACTGTTACTAAGGAAATAAGATATATTTGACCAAACTTGTCGCAGGTAAAACAGGGGGTTTTATTTACTGGTTGGAACGTGGTCTCTGGTGTCTGTATTTACCTTATCTCCCTTTTAAAAGAAATTGTACTGTTTCCTGTACTATTTCTCTATTTGTACTTCAGTATTCTCTGTGTGTAAAAAAAAAAATGCTTTCATGTATAAATTTTCCATTGCTTAGTGTGTGACTGTTCTTTTCCTGTCTGATGAGATGTTACTGTCTGCCAGGTGTTCTTCTACAAAGGAGAACTGCACATCATTCCACTGTCAGAGACTGACGAGGAGGAATGTGACCCATGGGCTGCCAGTCCAACAATCTCAGAGGCCTTATCGCTGTTATCCAGCCGTTCGGAGGAGTTCCTGGCTGCAGAACCCATCAGGACAGCAGTGTATAAACGCATCAGTGGGTAAGTTGGTGTTTTGTTTTGGTCTTCTGCAACAGTAAGCTTTGATTCTGGGGTGTCTGGGATACTTTTTTTGTGTTCTTGTGCTGTCATACAGTGAGACCTGGACAGGCTGAACAGTTGGGCAGAGAGGAACCTGATGAAATTCAACCAGGGCAAGTGCAGGGTGCTGCACCTGGGGAGGAATAACCCCCTGCACCAGGACAGGTTGGGGCTGACCTGCTGGAGAGCAGCTCTGAGGAGAAAGACCTGGGAGTCCTGGTGGACAATAGGGTGACCACAGATCAGCAATGGGCCCTTGTGGCCAAGAAGGCCAATGGCATCCTGGGAGGCATCAGGAAGAGTGTGAGCAGCAGGTGGAGGGAGGTCATCCTGCCCCTCTGCTCTGCCCTGGGGAGGCCCCATCTGGAGCACTGGGTCCAGTTCTGGGCTCCCCAGTTGCAGAAGGACAGGGAACTGCTGGAGAGGGGACAGCAGAGGGCTAGAAAGATGATGAAGGGCCTGGAGCATCTCTCTTATGAGGAGAGGCTGAGGGACTTGGCTCTCTTTAGTCTGGAGAAGAGAAGGCTGAGGGGGGATCTGATCAACGCCTATAAATCCTTCAAGGGTGGGTGTCAGGAGGATGGGGCCAGTCTTTTTCCAGTGGTGCCCAGGGACAGGACAAGAGGAAATGGGCACAAACTTGAACATGAGAAGTTCCACCTAAACAGCAGGAGGAACTTCTTCACTTTGAGGGTGGCAGCACCCTGGA